TTTTTCTATCGATTTGACGAATATAATATTTGCCGATTATCGCAAATGGATCGATCTGATGAGATCGACGATAATCAAGTACAGACATAAAGATTTTTTTCATGCGGATGAATTGACCATGTATTCAGATGTATTTCCCTCGGAGATTTCGTGTAATGACATTAAAAATCCAAACTCAAACAATGCATCGAGAAATAAAATTATCATTTTGATGAGTTGTAATTCAACGGGGACAACGAAATTGCCACTCTTGATCTGTGGACCATATCCATCCAAAATAACAATGAAAGAGCACATTTACTGTCACAACAAAAATTCTCATATTGGAAACGAATTGTTCAGAAATTGGTTGTCAAATGTGAACGATCATATGATAAAGTGTAATCGAAAGATTTTGCTATTTCTACAACGAAACAGGATGCGCGCACTCAAGGATTTCGTGGCGAGCAATGTACAACTCGTTTACTTTCCTGAAGATTTTCCGTCATTTTTACGACCATTGCGGAGAGACGTTTTTCATTACGTCAAGATGATTTTCAGACGAAGGTAAATCTCAAGAGAAAGGCTTTTTTTGAAAACTCCGAAACTAATTCTTCAAACATTTCTATGCGCGATTTTGAAAAAATTTTTTAATATTCGATTATACTAAATACTTATTTAAAAATAGGAATATAACATTTCTATCTTAATTCTATCTTAATTTAATTTAATTTAATTTAATTTAATTTAATAAATTAATTTCATATAGAATCATATATTCTATAATATTGCATATAATTAATATAATTATTACATCAAAATTAAAATATATATTTTTTATCAATAAGTATTTAGTATAATTGAATCTCTTGAATAATTGAATATCTTGAATCTTAAAACAAAACTTCTTAAAAAACTTCTCAAAAACTTAAAAATCTTCGAGACTTTATCATATTTTCAAATATAGTCAGATAATTTTCATTGCATTAATTAATATAGCTTTTTATTTTCTACAAAAAAAAATATTAAATTATTTATACTGAAAAATCAGTTTAGAAAAATCTAATTTAAAAGATCTTATAACTTGTTATTTAGATAGATTGTAATTATTTAGATAATTAAAATAGATATATATATAAATAATTAAAATAGATACATTACATAATTCTTCTATTTTTGAATTCAAATGATAAAATTTTGATAACATGATAAATTGATGTGAATAAATATAATTATAATTTTTTTTCAATAAATTTCAATTAATTTAAATGATTTCTTTTTTAATTAAAAATAGATGTACATTGCCTTATTTTATAAATATTATATAATATATACATTATGTAATGTAATAGCATGTTATCTAAGCAATGTAATAATAATAATAATAATAATATATATTTATCTTAAATTTTTTCTTTATTAAATATTTGTAAAATGTTTGTTAAAGATATGCAGAACGATTGAAGGATATTATGGAATGGAATCTTCATGATATTTTGACATCTTTAATCGAAGCATGGGAGACGATACCACGAGAGCTTATCATTTTTAGTTTTCAAAGAACACGTTTTAGAACCGATGATTGCTTTCTACAAATTAATTGTGATTGCTGGGATAATTTGAAAATGGGCATATCATTTAAAAAATTTGTGATGTTCGATGACAATCTTTTAGATGAAGAAATATCACATGAAAAAAATAATTACAATCTTCGTAATCGTAAAAACGTAATAGAAATTAAGAAAAATAACTCAAATTCTAATTTGAAGATTACAAAAAATAATGAAAATACGATTCAAAAACTATCAAATAAAATCATCAAAAAATATCGATCAATGCCTTCTGAGGTAAAAAATTATACGGATCAAAAATTAAACTGTCCTATAATAACGAATCATGAAAAAAAATGGAATGATCATATAAAAAATAAGAAATTGAAAAAAAATCTAATTGATATGAATATTAAACAGAAAAAATCTCGAAAAAGAACTTACAATGAAGCTCAATTTGTTAAAAAGGAACGGAATAGAAATCAATATGTGATCCGGCAGGAAAATATTAAAAACTTTGTACCGAAAGATTCCAACATTGCTTCTTCAATGTTGAAAAGAAAGAAATTCCAAAAGGAAATACCTCAAAGACAAGACCCAGAAGTGAATGTAATCCAAGAATCTCATCAAAAAGACAAAGCTTTGGCTTTATTGTCAACTACAAAAGTTAATTATTTACACAATCTAATTGATAGTAATAATAATAATGATGAGGAAACCATAAAGAACAGTAACAATTTATCACAATTTCAATTTTTGAATAATAAACAAGGTAATACAGATTCGAAGTGTGCGAATAAAATAATTACAAATTTTTCTACCAATTTTTTAAATAATTTTAATCAACCATCAACATCAACGAATAATTTGAACGTTTTATCTCAAGAAATCGCTGAACAAATTGCTTCTAATAAAATATTAAAAAAACAAGTTTTCGAAATATCATTTGTTAATACATCTGAATCACAGAAAGGAAATCATGATAAAAGCCAAAATTTGAATTTACCCATAAATAAAAATGCTTTGAAAATTATGAATTTCTCTAAAAAGAAACAAAATTCTTTGGATCTAAATAATCCTGTAGATAATTCTGAAATAGATGAACCAAGAACAAAGAAATCGAGAACAGATCATAATTGGTACAAGCAATTTGAAACCACTTTTGTTTTTGGTTCTCCAGATGTAAATTATCCTTCAGACATTCAGCAAGATAAAAAAGATATTGAATCGTGTATTTTTAGTATAAAACCGTCTGTTTCTCCAAAAAATTAAAATTATTATTATGATCTTTTAAATCATAAATTTAATGAAATTGTAAATTTCATTTCATTATTTTTTATTGATTTAAAGTAAAAAAATTAAATATTTAAAAAAGCAGTATTGTAAAAAATTGATCTAATCATAAATAAAAATCATTTTCAATACAAAAAATATGCTTGAAATATTATTATTTATGATATAAAAAATACAATTCTCTCAATATTTGATACGATATCTGATAATAAAATGAAATTTTATATCAATAATTCTTAATCAATAATTTGTTGTTGTTTCAATATCACTATTACAAAAATGGAATATCAAAGCTGATACAAAGTTATTTAATATATATAGATATATTTTTTTTTAATATATAATTAACAATTCATTAACAATTCAACACATAATTGCATAATTCTAGTTCATAGAATATAAGATACATACATTTGATATTTTTATTTTTACTATTTTTAATATATTTTTTTTATTTTTTTAAGCGGAATCAAATCAGTATACTTTACTTATTATCATAGAATGTTTATAATGTCACATTCGCTTGTTATCAATTATTAAAAATTGCACATAATATTTAATATATATCTAAAATAATGATGTATATATGAATATATTTATTTTTCAAATAATTTAAATACATTTTATTTGTCAAAAATATAATAAATTTTTATTAATTTGTATGAAAATTAATTTGTATGATAATTCTATGAAAAATAATTTTTAAAATTATGATTTTTTTTAAATTAACAAAATATACAAGAAATAAATGATTTTAAGAATTAAATTATTTTAAAAATTAATTATTTTAGATACAAAATAGAAACATAATTTTTTATTTATAATTAATAATTATTAATTATTAATTATTAATAATTAGTTTATGTCATAATATATATATTATGATTATAATATTTATAATCATAACATAATCAGTTCAAAGTAATTAATATTTCTATAAAAGTGATAATATATTTCTATAAAAGAATGATAATAATCATATTTATCTCATTCTAATATATAAATTATAATTACCTATATCAATATAAACTTCTAAATCAAAAGATAGCAAGTATTGTTCAATTATATTATAGTGAAATAAAATTTGTTTTACTAAATATATATTATCTTAAAAAATCAATTATGTCTATATCTATTTATATTATATTATATTTTTTTTCTAATTTTTATATTAAATGATATTTAAGAAACATATTTTACAATATATATTTTAATTGCAATACATTTATATATACATATATAATTTATAATATATTAGATCTTTCTATGTATTCGAAATTAGAAAAATCATTGTTATTTCAATTTTTAAAAATATTAATATTATGTTAATGAATACTGAGACAAAAATCATGTTTGAAAAATAATAAGGCAAAAATAAAGTTTCTTTAATAAAATTTATTCTATATGTATTATTTTAAAAATTCAATTAGTGATTTATTTTTTTTTTTATGTATACTTTTTAATTAAAACAAATAATATACATGGATTATTTATTATTGATAAATTACAATACTAAGAATTCTTTCTGAATATTACTATATTTTATATCAAATTTTCATATTAGAGCTTGTGATAGAAGAAATAAATAAAACAATTTATTCTTTAATAATAAATTCTTTTCATTACATTGTTTTATTACATTTTATTGAATTAAATTTATTATATATTAATGTAATAAATTAAAAAAAAATTATGTATACATATAATATTATAATGGAACAAAATTCGTGCTTATATACATATATAAAATGATAAAATAAAAAAATTTTAAAAATAAGTATTACTTCATTAAATGAAAAAAAAATTCTAATAATTATAGATTGAAAAATTATTTATCAATTTAAACATATTAATTTTTTTTCTCTATTTTTATCCAGATTTATATATTTTTATTATTTTTATATAGATTTTTGTTTTATACTTTTAATAAATTTTGTATATAAAATTCTAAATCCCAATCTAATCACTATAAAATATTTTGTAATATTAAGAAATATATCTAATAATAGATTTTAAAACACTTTAAATCATTTCGAATATAATTAAAAATCTAAATCTCTTGGAAATCTGAAAATCTTCAAGACTTTAAGCTTTTTGAAAATTTCAAATTATTTCGAAATTGAAATTCAAACATTAAATATATTTCATCATTGAATATTTTATCCTCAAGATATAAGTATTTATATTTGTATTTTATATTTATATTTGTATGAAATATTATATTTAAAAAAATATATATTTTTCTAGAAAAATTATATTTGTGTGATAATCATAATCATATATTATTATCTGAAAATATTTAGCTATCATTTTGTCATAGTTGCTAAATATAATAAGATAATTAATTTAAAATTTAAAGATAAAATATATAGATTTTTCTTATACTTGATTGTATATTATTAAAATTAACTATTTTTATCAGATTCATATAATTTTTCTATAGGCAAATGTTCAATATTCTTTATAGTATCTATTACTTTTTCTAATATTTGAGAATGTATTACTGATTTATCATTATCTGCATTAATTACATACCATGTTTTGTCTATTAATTTTTCATAATTAGAAGCAACAAGTTCTTGAAGTTCAACATTTTCAAAACGTTCATCTCCCCAATTACTACGTAAACTTTGAGATTTTTTGGAAATTGAAAGATAAATAACTAGATCTGGAGAAGGCAATCCATTATCAGGTTCTTTGCACCAATTTAAATTTTTTCCAGTTATAGCTGCTGTATAAGCAGCACCAGAAGCAGCATATCTATATTACATTTAAAATTTTAATATTTTAATATTTTTTTGTAAAGAAATTATGACAATAGATTTATTAATTACTTACCTATCAATAATAAGAGTAGTTCCTTTATGTAAAGTTTTCAAAATTTCATCTTTACATTCCCATCGATTTGCAGAAAACAATAAATGTACTGTTTCAGAAGGAAGTTCTGTTTTTTTAGTCAAAAAATTATTTATTATTTCTCCAATTGCAGTTGTTCTATCTATAAATAATATTGAATTAAATAATGATTAATTTTATCAATTGTCATTTCACAAGATTATATATAATAAACAAAAATTAACATTTCAACAATTACTAATATATTATATTATATTTATATTTAAAAAATTATTTAAAAAATATATATTTACTAGGAAAGCCATATAATTCAACTGGAATATTACGGTTATTTAAAGCAGTTATTAACATTTTCGCTTGAGTAGATTTTCCTGCTCTATCACATCCTTCTAAAACTATTAAAGCACCACGTCTTATTGACATTTTTTAAAAAAATTTTAATAAAATCTTTTATTTAATTATTAAAAATAAGCATTAAATATTCTCTTCATACATGTACATATAATTATCGAAATGAAATAGTTTTGTATTTTATATGTGAAATGAAATGAATAAATATAGTTTTATATATGAAATGAAGTGAATATGGTTAATTATCTTATGTGCTTTATGAATCAATAAAGATAATTATTTTCTATGTAAATTATGTAATCGTATGTAAATTATCAAACATCTAAATTATTTTCATTACTTCATTAATCTTAATGAAAATGAATATATATTTTACGATAAGAAAAAAAAATTTTCAAAAAATTAAGATTCATAAGTTGTATTATTGCAAAAAAAACTTATTTGATGAATTTAAATTTATTTTTTACTTTCAAAATCATCTCGTCTTATAGATTATAGAATTAATGTTGATTAAAACAATATTTTAATATTATAAATTATATTTTATAAATATTATAAACTTATAAAAGTTAGTTAAAAAAAAATAAATTAAAAAACTAAGTTATACTAAAATAAATAGCTATTTAAAATAGCTAAATAGTATAGTAACTATGTATATATTTATCTATATTTTACTACTATTTAATATGCAATCCAACTCTAACCTAATTGATGTTGTTAAAAATATAGTACTAATGAGAAAAAAAATTTCAAAAAACGTGTAAATGTATAGGCTTAATAAAAATTATATAGAAAAAAAATAATAAAAATTAAAAAATAAAATAATCTTAATGAAAATGAATATATATTTTACGATAAGAAAAAAAATTTTCAAAAGATTAAGATTCATAAGTTGTATTATTCTTTATTATAATAGCAATAATAATAGAGATAATAGTAATAGTAATATACAGTATACATTTTTCATTATCCGTATTTCCCATAAACATACATCGAATTGTAAAGTGCATTAAAGATATATTATAATATGTTACATTAAGCCAGAATCGCATCATTCATAAACCATTCTATACATACATTACGCACAATTCATTTAATACTTCTGTTCAACTTTAACGTTTTTATGTTAAAATTTTATTTTGACTTTTACTTTACTGCGAGTATATCACGTAGGGAGCATTTGAGCAGATCGAATTAAATAATGAAATAAAAAATCAATTTTTAATCATTACCTATTGATAATCTATGAATAAAACATCATTACTGAAACTTACGATAAATAAATTAAGATCAATCAAATTTAGATATTATTTGAAATTTTAAGATCGATTAAATTTAAATATTATTTAAAATCTTAAGATTAATCAAATTTAGATAAATGTAGTATTAAAGTCTTATTAATTTCACAAAATGTATTCTAATGATCATAACAAAAATAGATAAACCTGCTCAACGAAATCAAGATAGTTAAAAACAATTCAAGATTAAATTTGAATAAAAAATATTTTTTTAACAATAATGTAACCACAACACATATTTTGTACCTTAATGCCATTTTTCACAAGAAGAATTATTCTGATTTTGATATTGCCTTTTAAACTAGAATATAATCATGAATTTCTTCAATTTTGTTTAATGGCATCTACATAAAAAAGATAATTTGACAAATAGTTTTATTTAAAGTATGTATCAATATGCGAATTTGTTATATTTTTCGAAGGGACTTATGCTTATATATTTACAAATCATAAATTTCAATATATCTATATATACGTATATACATGTAACATACACAAAGATGCGATTCAATAATAATATGCTACAATTTATGCATAATATATATGCTTGAGAGTATATTTGTCATGAATATAAAATCAGATAATCTAATATATTTTACAAGACTCGACAAAACCAGTTTTACTCCAATTGTGATTAATGGCGGAAAAGAACATTATTTCACACAAATATAATAGAATTATTTTCCTTCGAACAATTTCAAGATTGTTCGCTTTATGGAAATTACGGACACTAACAGAATAAAGTCTTTTCCTTTTCTTTCTTCGCGAACGGATGCATGTTATACATATTTTGAATATATTCATTTAATTATATCCACTACTGTCTTCTTGCTTTCGATCATTTTTTTATCACAAAACGCTGGACGATAAATAATGAAAAACCAATCTATAAGGCTTATTCTACGTTTGTACATTGCATGAATGTTATTCTTTGTTCATCAAGTTGCCATATTTGCCAGTATTTCTTGGCTCATATCTAAGAATTTCCCTCGGTAATAGATAGTGAAAAATATAATGTGGAATATGTATCATCAAAAGCGATCACCGAGAGGAACATAGACTTCGGAATAATCGTATTACGCTCGTAAAAAGAAAAACGCGAAATAACATCTTTATATAGAAGCGTATTTACTCGTTTGCAAAATATTTTCTCTTCCACTTGAGCATATTAAACTTTTTATGGCATACAATTTGATAATTAGAGATTGAAACATTCTGACAGCACCAACGTTCTTGAGGGAAAAACGAACTATGCATTTTCCTTAAAGAGAAAAAGCTTATGGTTCGTATAGACGCTGCGATCTACAAGTCAACATATATCTACAAGCATAAGCAAGTTGAAGAATAATAATGCAACTTGCAATTATTTTTTTTAAGTGATAAATATTGTTATACTGTATAATGAGAAAAGGCAAAATTCGAAACGTGCAGTTTCATTTATAACAATGAACATAAAACGTAAAATATAAAACATATTGCAAAAAGAAGAATATTTGTAAAGGAAATATATATTTATAAAATACTAGGCACCCAATTAATTGATAGAAACAATATTGGAGAAAATATTTTTAGACGAAATATATAGAATGATTACGAAGGAAAGTAAAAATTTGACATAAATATTGGCATTTTTACCAATTATCCCAAATTCAAATAGATAAATGGCAGTTACGCTTCTTATTGATATAACGTTGGTATGATATACTAGTCTGATGATTAATAACAATATTTGCATGATATATCGCCTAACAATAGGATTCATAAAATTTTCAGATTTCTAACATTTCTTACATTATTGATATCTGCTTCATTTTTTTATGCAACTGTTCTTCGCCAGTGTATAAAATCAGATATGACCGTGTATTATTATGTTATTAGATTATTTGTAACGAATTTTTTCATAATGTATACGATACGGTCAACATTATTCTCGCTATAATTAACATTATAACATGCAAAATATTTCGGAAAAAGCATTCATGTAAAACTTAAATCTGAATCCTGTTACGAGCGCAAACTTAACATTCTTCTTATTCGCGATCTTACTCAACATAACACACATTAATTTTTTTATTATTAGAATTCTCCATTTTATCTTATTCAATCAACTCATATCAAAACACGGCGATTGAAACGTTTCATCCATTATCTTCAATGCCAGTAATACATATTTCTCCGTTTAGTAATTTACATTGTTGAAAAGCATTATTTATGTATATATATTGAAAGATAAAAGTATCTACGATTCGCACGAGTTAAATTAAAGAACATTCCATTAAAAAAAAATTTTTAGAAAACAAGTACCCTGTGTATATTTAATGAAATTCAGCAACATGTGGAGCATGTATTCTCCAAAATAAAAGCTGAAGAAATCCAAAAAATAAATCCTAATAATATTAACGATTTGTTAAACATTTTTCTATTGTAAATTGTAATATTCCAAATGTTTACGGTACTATTTAAAAGCAATTATACGCTTAGAATACATATATACATATATATTCTCTAGAAATCTTATTTCTAGAAAAATGAAACTAATTTTTGTAAAATCGAAACATAGGAAATTCACGTATACCTGACTAAACTTATAATGCATCTATTCACTTACGTAATTTGAGGTATATTTGCCTGTTTAAGTTATGAAAATTTCGATTCATCTAAATAATGTGTGATCTTGATAGAATAAAAAAATCTTCTGGTTACTCATCAACGTATGTTGTTCAAGATTGTGAATTTTATCGTGGAGGATACCCGCTCTGATGTAAGTTTTTCGCTGAACGATTCTTCATGTCGCTTGGGTTGTACATCATTGGTCCCTAAAGATTATCATTTTTATTGAAAAATATAATACAATAGATTTAAATTATATACAAAATATTATCAATCTCACAATTATTTATAAAATTATTATACTTATTCTTGTACAATTTTGCCTACAACAAAATTAAAAATTATAGCAAAAATTACAATATTGTTATATGTTTTAAAGAAAAAAAAGATATATAATATATAATGTTTTGTAATTCAATTAAAATTATTAATTCTATTTTTTTAATATTCAAATTAATAGTTTGAAATTTATTGATTGTGATACAAAGCATAAAATATAAGCTTCAACATGTAATGCATACATTATAAGACCAATACCATAAATACATCCATCACCAAGCTCTCCCTTAGTTTTGCTATATAAATTTGAGAAGTGCTTAATATAATAAGTTTAAGCTTGATGTAAATGCAAAAGCTATATGACTGTGGAATATCAAAAGAAATTTTATCTTAACTCTATTGCAAATGTAGAATATATTTTAATTAGTTTTGTAATTATATAAAAAAAAAGATTTAAATTAATAATTGTAAGAATTATTAAAAATTTATTTAGAAATACTGAAAAAAATTACTCACATCAGAAATCATTTCATTTACAAAAATAATCAAATAAAATATAATCTACAATTACAAATTTATTATAAAATATGATATTATAATAAATAGAATTTTTAATGTATTGTTGAGTATTTATATATTTAAATGATATCACCTTTAGAATATGAAATGTCTAATGCCACTGGATTACCTTGTTTTGTGGGAGGAAACGCGGATCCCTCATAGTGTAGCTCTGCACCTCTCGCGATAACGAGCTGGTTGAGCTCCATCGAGAGAACTGTGTGCCATATAATAAACACAACAATCTTTTCTCACTAACCAAATACTCATTCTATTGCTATAGTTAAAAGTTTGTGAGGATGCAATACCGACTTTCTTTATCACAAAACATACATATTGTTCCACAAAGTGATTGTAATACAGAAAATTATATAATATCAAAAATATAAATAGTTGGTATTGCAAATCTCTAA